GTCAAATTTGTTTTACAATCTGTCTAATTTTTCGTACTTGTTTGTTTGTTTCAACTTCATCCAAATCAAAACCCTCGTTTTAGTTTCTTGTTTCAAAGTGTTTCAAATCTGTTTTAATTTGTGTTTTTAAGTGTTTTGATTCAAGTAAAAGTCAATTTTCGTCCAAAGTCATTCCTAGTGTCTAGTTTAAGTTTATTTGGTTGTTTTAAGCTGTTTTGAGTATTTAAGTTTGCTTTGAGTCTTGTGAGTCTTGTTAAGTGTTTTTAAGTTTAGTTTTATGTTTTTGAGTCTTAGAGGTTATTAGCAAGCCCTCCTAATCCCCGGTCCAGAACGATCCCTACTTATACTTGTACTACAATTGTCAAAAGAGGGTTAAATTTGTGTGTTAAGATAATTTTCGCATCAGGTATGACATAAATTATATTAGACAAAATAAAATAATACGTATGATTATACTCTTCATTTTTAAATATATAATAGTATGATTATACTCTTCAAATCAAAGCACTATATGACAGGAGCGAGTGAAAGTAGTAGAGAGCACGAATAAGCTCAATCCATAGGATAGAATGAGGGTGGACACATGAAGGGATAAAACGACGTCATTTTAAGTGGGTTTCTAATTCGGTGTTGTTCGGTTCAGTTTCTGAACCCCAGAAATCGAAACCAAACCATCCAACTTCGGTTCGGTTTGATTTCGCTTAGCTTTTTTTTTCGGTTCGATTTTTTCAATTTCGGTTTGGTTTTCGATTCAATTTTTTCGATTTCAGTTTGATTTTCGGTTTTCAGATTTTCAAACCCACTCCTACGAATTATTTCCACATCATTTTTTCCCAACCAAACCTTATTGATTTATTTTATTATTATTTTTTAACAAACGATAGTATCTACACTAAGGGGTGGGGGAGTGTGCTAAGCCTCACACTAGGGCAGCCATAATAATGTGGTTCAATTTCACTTTTGACAAGAATTAGATTTAAGACCTCTCAGTTACAAATAAAGAAAAATACCACTATATCGTAGTACTAAGTGACTAACCCTTCTTTATTTTTGATATTTTGATCAAATAAAAAATATCAAGATACACCTTTAAGCATGAGGGTGTTGAGAAATAGTATCTAATGAAAGCTCTTGTGACGAGGCGGCGGAGAATAGAATTTAACAAGCTAGTTTAAAGCATCTTAACTTAATTAACAGCTTAGATCAACATTTCCATGTATGGTCCAACAGGATCCTCTCCGGATCTTTTGGTGAGGATCTTGAGAATTCGAGAATCGTGTCCATTCATCATACATCGTTCGATCAGATTTTGTCAAACATTGTTTATGTTTATTTTTAAAATTTAAAATGATTTTTAACCGTATAATATACGATGAACATACACGATTAATAAATTCTTGAAATCCTTACAAAGATGATCCTGCGAGGATCCGGACTCATGTATAGTTTGGTAACAAACCAAAAGTAAAATAAAAATACTAAAGATGGCAAAAATACAAAATAAAAAATAAAAGTACTAAAAACCAGTTACCGAAATCCAGTAAAAAAAGCAGGCGCGCACACACACATACATACATACACACATATATATATATATATATATGTACATACATACTCCATATATATATATAAGAAATTGTTATTAGAACTTCAAAAATCACATTCTCCATTCTTATTTTTCTTTCTAATTATAAAAATTTAAAATGTCAAATAAAATTTTTGAAGGGCTAATAATCATTGCCTATATATATATATATATATATATATATATATATATTACTTCATAGATTCTCACCCAAATTGGCAAAATGAAGCCCATCAAAGTGTAACCATGGTGAGGGCATGAATGCTCTGCTCATCCAATTCCAAGGCCTCTGATTGTCTTTCTTGGGTCACAGTCTGTTGCAGCAACCTCAGAGCTCGTTGCAGCCTAGTAGCTGGCTGCCGATAATTTGCATCATCATCCAAATCAACGGCTGCAATCTGATTGAGCTGGAAAAAGAAGAGCCTCCAAGCATGGATGATTTCGGAGTAGGTCTGATGAACAAGCCTGAAGCTGAAAGAGAGTTTGAGGACAAACGGCCAGATCAACCCAGTCAGCACAGCGCCGCTGTGGGAGGTGGACATAGTGACGACTTTGAGTTTGATGAGTGCTACAACTGCCATGTGAAAACCATATGATGGGTATATATACATATGTATGTATAGATATATACGGAGAGAAAGAGAGAGCGCACGCTTAAAGAGCAAGCTGAGTGAATGAGATGAGAGTGAAGAGCTTGACAAATGGTTGAATTGATGTCGGCAGGTAAAAGAAAGTGGGCTTGGAGAGCAGCTGAGTGAATGAGATGAGAGTGAAGAGCTTGACAAATAGTTGGGTTGATGTCGGCAAGTAAAAGAGAGTGGAAAGGGACAAGAGTAATACTTGACTTTATCAGCAGCAATATATGTGTCACATTCCTAAGCTTTCAATTTTCTCTGCTGACCGGGGCACGATATATATGGACGATGGTAAATTTGTATGCACCCACTTTGCATTGACTCTTGCTAATTTAGTTAAATCTACATTGAGAATTTCCGTACACATATATGCATAAAAGTTAAAAAAAAAGTTTTTACTCAATATATATGTCAAACTGTAATTTGTGTACAAAAATAAATTATTTTAAATAGTACCTCGTGACACTCTTGAACTTAATTAGGATGAATTAATTTATTTGATGATCTTGACTAAGAGTTAGTAAAAAATGCTTCTGGCATTAATAAAAATAAGGCACGTTGTAGGGTCAATCTATTTTTATTTTAAGTAAAGGCGTGTGACACCGTCCTACCATCCACGGAACCCAACTCAAGCGCTATCTAGGGCTTGGGATGTAACATCTCACATCATCCAAATGAGTGGATCCTGTAAGCCTTGTATGTATATTCTCATCTTTACCTAGTACGAGGCTTTTTAAGAGCTCACTAGCTTCGAATTCCATCGGAACTCTGAAGTTAAGCGAGTTCGCGCGAGAGTAATCTCATGATGGGTGACCTACTGAGAAGTTCTCGTGTGAGTTCCCAGAAACAAAACTGTGAGGGCGTGGTCGGGGCCCAAAGGAGACAATATCGTGCTACGGCGGAGTCGAGCCCGGGATGTGGTGGGGGTCCGGGCCGGGATGTGACACGGGATGACCTCTTCTGCCTATAATCCTGAGATTTAAAACATTTATAGCTCTGCTAACCATAGTATGATTCGGCTGATGAACATTCCAACCAATCCTGAAAACCTCTGTGAAGCCATGTTCCCTTCCTCGTCCAACCCGTTACTACTAGTATCAATGGACGATCCTAACATTGCCCTATCCTACATTTCTTTATATTTTAAAGTTTAGGTTCCTCTCTTATCTGCATGGTAATGCAATATTGAACCAGCACATCGCGTAACAATAAACTCATTGCATAAAAATTGCATTCCTATCCTCAACAACAATTTTTCACACTTGTGTTAGCATACATCCAAATCCACTACGCATGCAGGATGGCAACCGTTGAAGCATCGTAACGTACACGAAGTTCCGAACCGAGGGCCCTATACATATTGGTATTGGTAACGAACTTTCCAGGAAGTTTCTCTCCGTCATCATGGCCTCATAATTTGTTGGAGATGATGTGATCGATTCTTGGGGCAGCAATGCAGAAATTGAAATGTTTGCGAGCCTTTCAAATATTTTCTTTTGTCACAATACTCATAACATGTTAGATATAATATATATGTTTTCACACATGCAGGTCACAATCTTAAACAAAAATAAGACGAAGAATTAATCACCTTATTCTTATGTTAAAAGGTTGAAGCTGTAGATGTTTGACTGCAGTGGCAATGAAGAGTGGCACTTATCAAATTAGTAAGAACATACCACCTTAAATTCATCACTAATTACAAATTCTAGAGCATTTAGTGTGTGTGCGTGCGCCCGTGTAACATGGATGCTAACTACGCCGACAATTCGAATTCTAACGCCATCTTCAGCAAAAGAGTTATTTGGTCACTTATATCCTACTCAACAACGTTTTTTTGTGGAACCCTTGTGGGCTTCTTATCTCTTTATTCTCTATCAAAATACAATATACTATTAGTACATAACTCTAAAATTGTTAGGGATAAAAAAATTTATAACCAAGACAACACATTAACATAAGTTTTGACAGAATTTTAACGAAATGACCGTATTGATTTGCAGTAACCATATTCATAGACGAAATTGATTGATTTTCTAACTAAGTGAGCATTTTAAAGAGGTGAGTCAATTTCAGATATTTCGGATTTGGCTAGAATACTTACATATATTTATACATATATTCACATGAATGATATCTAACTATCAAATGGTGATTGCAATAAATACATGTAAGTATTTTTGCCAGTTCCATCATTTGTGATAAAAACTGAAAATAATACTTTGAAGGACTAAAACATAATCCTCCACACTTCTAATCTTCCATTGTTGAAGATGGCCATAGGCCTAATAGATTGGATAGAGCCTAGAGGTAACCCCAACCCATGCACGTGAGACAAACCTATCTCTATTTGAGAGTTCAGAAGTGGTACAAATATCATACGTACATCCGAACTTTTCGGCCCTTTGGTAAGCAGAATGGGATGAATTATTTCTAATTAAATTGAATTTGCAACCCAGCTAATATTTGGTGAAAAAAATTGTAATACGAACTGGATTGGCTACAAATTCGAAATAAGGAAAAATATGATGAGTTATGGAACCCAACCGCACACATGGGTTATGTAAATCATCGATGCCAATCCAATCTTATTCCTAAGGGCCAATCACATCCAATCCACCAAATGGGTCCTTCGTATTTTGCCAATATTGGCCTTCCCGTAGGTTTAAGCCCAATGGGCTTTCATGGGTTTTGAACATCCCAACCCGGCCCATAAATATTGGTGAAAGAGAGAAAAGAAGTTAAAATTGGGTGCACGTCAAGGATATCGAAAAAACAGCGTCATTGTGTAGTACGGTGTACCCCACGCCCCGTCTGTCAATGGTAGAAACCCCTAAACCCCTAAATGTAACTGCCACGGTCATCCTCTGAAGTCACCTTCCGAACCCAAAAAATTGCCACTCTCTGCAAAACCCTAGAGCCAAAAGTACAGAGAAAGTAGAGAGATGATGGAAGCGGAAGAAGGACCGCCCAACAGAGAACTGTACGCGCTGCTTCACATCTCACCGGAAGCCTCCGATGAGGAAATCAGAAAAGCTTACCGGCAGTGGGCCCAAGTCTATCACCCTGATAAATACCAAGCTCCTCATGTAAATTTATTTAGTTTTTTTAATTTGGTTTGTAAATACTAAAGTTTGAATCTTTTGCTTATTGGATTGATACCCAATTGCTAATTCATGTTTAATTTGTCTTCGGCGGTGTCGATTTAGTTATTGAAATGCTGCGTTGGTGTTTGATTGTAATGTTTGGTGTTTGTTGCTTAAGGTTGAAATCTAATGAGATGTTTCTGTTGTAATCTTTTAATGCAATCAAACCGAAAGTGTTAAAGTTTTGAAGTTCATTCAACTGTCTTAGGATTAGCAACCCGAAATGTTAGACTTGTTTGCACGTCTTCAACAATGTTGGCAGTCGAATTTAGTTTCGTGGAAAGTGGTAACTGATTAGTGATGTCGTTGAATGTTTGTTTTCAGATGAAGGAGACCGCTACAGAAAACTTTCAGCGGATATGCCAAGCGTATGAGATATTGTCAGATGAGAATAAAAGGAAGATATATGACATTTATGGGATGGAAGGGTTGGCTTCTGGTTTGGAACTTGGGACAAAACTGAATAAAGCAGAAGAGTTAAAGGAAGAACTGGAGAGGTTGCGGAAAATGAAGGAACAAGAGAAGGTCGCAGCACATTTCCGACCTTCTGGTACAATATTGGCCAATATGTCTTTACCACACTTTTTACATGGCCATGGCATTATGAGAGGGTACGGCTCAGTTCCAGTCTCTTTATTATCTTTTTCTCCCATCATTCAATCGATCATCTTGAATGTAATCATTTCTTTCGCTAGTAAGCCTTTTGATGCCCATGGAGAAATTTTAATTTTAATTTGAATGTCATTTTATTATGTAGTTCAAATTTGAGTGTCTGCCTGTTACTTCTAGTTGCATTTTATATATCTCGACCATTTTTTGTAGGCTTGCAATTTTTTCCCTCGTCTTATTAAGATATCACTGTCTTTCCCACACGGTTACGTTCTTAGAACCCTATCAAAATCACATTGATCCTTGATATCTTAAAGGCATGATGTTCAATACAGTTGTATGCTTTGGTTTTTCTGCTTCATAGTGTCTATTGTTTTCTCGGAAACTGATTTCTTATAAATAAATGTCAGGATGGCTATGACAAGTTCAGTTCAGTCTCAGATATCAAAGCACAACACCCTTTCAATTGGTGGAAATTTGGCAGTTAATGGGAATGCTGGCGGTGGAGCCGCTACAGTTGTATTTGGACATCAGATGTCTTCCGTTTCTTCTGTAGAGTTCATAGGTTCAGCTGGGTTACGGTCACTTATTGGGGTGCAGACTACTCGGTGAGCTTATTTTGCTCGAGTCACTTTGAATTTTCTTTTCAGCACATTGTGTTTCCTCTTTATAATCTTCATTGTCTCTTTTTTCCAGTAACTTATCATCGCATTTAACTGCCACATCTGGACTTTCACTTTCTTTGAAAGATGGTTCACTGAATCTCACCAACAGTTGGACACGACAACTATCTGAAACTGCAAGTGGAAATGTATGTGCATTTCTTGTTCTAGTTGACTCATTTGATTTATTTTATGTTTTCAGGTACTGTTGTGCTTTTATTGTATTTGGTAACATCACCAATAACATGTCATGCATGACTAATTAGAGAAATGTTGGAAAATGCTTGAAGTCATGAATGCGTTGGATACATTACTATCACTATGTTTGTAATGTAATTTATTCTATCAGTAGGGACGTGTATTTTTTGGAAGGAAAAGATGAAGAAAGGTCAAATAAGTTATGAACCCTGATAGAAGTAAAATATAAATTGATCTAGGTAAAATGTCACTTATTAAGGAGAATAAAAAAAGAGTAAACATCTGATTTTGTATTGACTTATTTCTGAATGGCTAATATTGTTATTTTTTCATTGGCTCCGGGGGGTTTCACCTTCTCCTTGACAGATACACCTCTCTTTAGGCTCAGAATCAGCCGTGTCAGTAGGTTGGCGAAAGAAACAAGAGAAATTGTCTGCTGCTGGAGAGCTGAAGGTACAGCATGTTATTACCCCTATTAGTTGTAGAACGGTCTACAAGTTCATAATTATAATGCACTCCAACCTGTTGTCTTCTAAATTTTACATTGAGCATTCTTTTAGTTTTTATGAATTCAATTGCTTGATATACATTACATTGTTCATCTCACTTGGTGACTTAGTTAAGCATAATTTACTCTCTTTTATTATATCAAACTTAAGTTGTGTTAGGATTTTGGCTCGTCAAATATGTCCTAGTTGGTTTAGGATTGTTTTAGGAAACCTAGAGGTATACCGATTCTTGTCCTAGAGGGATTAGGAAAGAATTTCAGTTTCCTAATTCAATTTAGGTTTGGATTTCTAGAAGTCTATTTGGATTTGGACAAGTGTAATTTCCTAATCCACTTAGAAATATGAATTCAATCAGCCTTGGGACATGTAAGCCAACCCTATGTCTATAAATAGGGTGCGGCAAGGCTGATTTTTTAAGAGAGAAAGAAAGCAGCCAGACAGCCAAGAGTTTTGAGATTAGTTCTAGGGTTTGCAAAAGTTCTGTAATCTCTATTATTAATCAAAGGAGCGATGATTTCTCTAGAGAAATCACAACTGGACGTAGGCATAAGTTTTGCCGAACCAGTATAATTCTTGTATGTTTCTAAGTTTTCTAATATTTGCTAGTTTAGTCTATTGCCGTTGGTTACATTAAAGAACAAGGTCTAGTGTGCGGGTTTTTTCAACAAGTTGTACGTAATTCACTTAATTTATTTTCAACTTTGACAGTGTGGCATAGATTCTTTTGAGGCATCAGCTCATTACAATCATCGCTTTTCATCAAAGTCTCATGGCCGTATTTCAGGAAAAATTGGAAGGTATGCTTGTTGGTTGATGATATATTATCAGTAAATGCTATGGTGACTTATCCTCTGTAGTATTTGTTTCATACTCAATTTCATTCCAGTTTTTCATTAAAAAAAGGTTTACATTCCATAATACCACTTTTTCGTATATGGTGCCTCCTTTTGTACTCAACTAAGATACGTGGATTGATATATAAGCAGGATATTGTAGTCAACCAAATGTCGACACTAATTTAGGTAAATATAAGTGCTCATGTTATGCGTTTTCTGACTTTAGACATTATTGATGCAGCACTGCCCTTGAGATTGAAATTGGTGGTGGGAGAAAGTTATCTCAGTTCAGCACTGTCCGCATGTTGTATTCAATAGGAATTCAGGTGATTCAGACAAAAATCTATAGATTTTTCAGAAGCTTTAGGCTGCATTTATTTCATGAAATATATTTTCCAGATACCATTTTCTTCATTGGATTTGTTTTCTTTTTGTTGCATTTCTTAATTGTCCAATTTTTTTGGTGCTATTTGAGTTTTATCGTTATAGTTTATAGAGGACATAATGAGTACAACCAACTTGAATTGATATCTTGAGTTTTTAAAGACCTTTCCTCTTATTCTTATAAAAAGATATAGAATATTTAGGTAGGTTAATACTGCTAGAAGTTTCCATCCATCATTTAGGATAAAATTAAATATTCCTGGACTTGCAGAAAATATATCTTCCAGGATTTTTGGAATATTTAGTAAAACATACAACCTGTAAATGGTGCTCAACGATTAGGATTGGTCAGTTAATTGAATATTGTCGTACCGGGGTAACAGCACAGATCTATCACGTTCAGAACGTCAAACCTGAAATCAACCAAATCAGGAGAGAAACTGATCCAATTCAAGCTAAAGAATACGGGATTAGAGAAACTGATTGAACTCAAGCCAAAGAATATGGATTTGGAGAGTGAGGTTGATTGGTTTTAATAATAAATGGTTGACATTTCAAAGGCATCAAAGCAGAATTGAACAAGGGATCTTTTGCAAATTAATAACGATAAAAGTACAACAGAGAAGTAGGAAGTAGTTGAAGGAAATGTAAGTGTCAGCAAGGGAAAAGATGTTTAGGCAGTCGGTGAAGAAAGTAAAAGTATGTTGATGGTTTAATAATTGTGCACAGATATAAAGATATATAGTCCACATTTCGATAGTCAGACTATCAAACAAGAGAGAGGGGGTACATGCATCAAAGAACAAGTTTGAAATTTCAATGAATTGACAAGGGAAGCAAGAATTAGGGGAAAAGAAAACATAGTACCAAAAAATTAGACAATTGACACGCGCTTGGTTCATTCGGTTTTGACACATTTTAAAAACCTTTGAACTGCATACCTATCGGAGACCTATGATTATACATCTGGAACCAAGTTTGTGTCTTATGGTTGTAGGGATCGTATTGAAGAGGCCGATTTGGTCAGGTTCTTGGTTCATCTGTTTTATTTTATTTTATTCTTTTCAACAGCCTCATCAGGAAATTGATCTTTCTGGGTTTGATATTTGATTCTTCCCCAAAATTTCTGGTGAAACAATTAGTGGATAATTATAAAATTACATCAGTTCCATATTCCCTCCTATAAAGTCCTTGATGTTAATCATACTAGCTTTGAAAAGATTAAATTTTGTTTAATAATGGCCTAATGTTTAGAGTTCATTTAAATACAATAATTTTTTCTTTTACACAGTATTTCAGTTAGTTCATGTTTAAACTGTGATTGACATCTCATACACTTCCTTGCAGGGTATCTTTTGGAAATTTGAGTTGCATCGCGGGGGTCAAAAGTTAATTATCCCTGTAAGCTTTATCTTATTATTTCACTCTTTATGTATTTTAGTGTGGGCGCAAATTTTATCTGTATTTGACCTTTACTCAGAGGTTTTCTATGTGTTTCTATGCCTTTTCATTCTTTCACTTGCGGATTAGAAATACTTCATGTGTAGTGTTTAAAGAGCCATTGAGTGTGCAAAATACAAAACGGAGGTTACATGTTGCTATCTGTTTATGTGTTTCTGGAATGTTTTCTTGTCATGTATGCATGGCTCTCTTAATATCATTTTGGAATAAAGTAAATTCAACTCTATTTTTCAATATCACCTAGGTTTAGGCATTACAAGGTTTTGATCTGTTGCTGATGTCTTTACATGCAGGTTTTGCTATCGAGGCATTTGGATCCTGTGTTTGCAACTGGAGCATTTCTAATTCCAACATCAGTGTACTTCGTACTCAAGGTTATTACATATTTTCTTTAATTTTAGCTAATCAGTTTTGAATATGTTGTTCTTCTTTACCTTATGCTGGCAAAGCCTAAGTTTTTTACTGCCAGGATTTGTTCATTATTTCTTTTAAACGTTCTTTATTAGTTTAGGCTTTTTAAAGTCATATATTAGTTGAAAACTGTGTTCATTTTGAAATATCAAACTGTATATCAGGAAGAGGTTTCTTGCTCTTGTTCTGTTCATAACTCGTTAGAGTGTGAATTATACTTAGACCCGTGAGCATACATTATATGAACGAGTTTTATATTTGGTCTTGTCCTTGCAACTTGAAATTAATTATGTAAATCTGAGGGCAAGATTGGATGTAGATCCATCTGGTGGCAAAATATTAGATTTTTGTCCTCCTCCCTTTATTTATTATTTAATGATCATTGATGTAGTGTTTTCATGTCTGTGATTTAGCAGCTAAGGTTTGTTAGATTATTAGTTGCTTTTATTATGCAGAGTTCCATTGCAAGAACTTTTCATTTTGTGTAGTGTGAAAAACTCGGTATTTGATGGATTGAGACTTGGAAGTTCTAATTTTGATCTTAATGTTGTCTGTTGATTCTGTGTCCTTTTTGTACGCTTGCAGAGATTCATTTTGAAACCTTACTACCTTAAGAGGGAAAAGAAGAAGGCGTTAGAGAATATGGAGAAAACTTCTGCACAGGTATGATTATCCATAAGTGCGAAATAGCAATATTAGAGCATTAAGTTTTGGTGTCTGTTGTCATGTCGGGTGAGATGCTGAAAGATACCTGTTGCACCTGGTTTTCAGTTGGATGCTTAAGTGTACATAATGCAGGCTTCAGAGTTCTGTGTTTTACAATTTATTTCCCTGAATTAATACACTGCAGTCTTTACATCTGATATCTGTCTCTTTTTTTATTTCCTTATGTTTAATATTTTTCATTTTTCATTGTGGAATTTGAAAGAATTTCTAAACCCTGTGTCTGCAGGTTCGAGAGGCAAGAGCAGCAGCAGACAAAGCTCAGAAGTTACTACAGAATGTAGCAACGAGAAAACAAAATAGGCAGCAAGAAATAGGGGGCCTGGTAATTTCAAATGCATTGTATGGGAATCTCAAAGCTTTGAAGAAAAGCAATGCACCAGTAGAATCAAATGATTCACAGGTCATTGATGTTAAACTGCCTCTAAATTTCCTTGTCAGTGACTCTGGAGAACTGAAGGTTGGTTCTTTAACAAATTTGCTTCTGCTTTTAGTATCTTTCGATAATCTTAAGTTTTAAGTGCTCATGAGATCATCCTGGGAATGTAGCTTGATTATACATTTCCGAAAATGCATATTATCATGTGTAGTGATCAGTGAAATCCAACTATGAAAATGAGTTTTACAAACCTTAAAGTGAGGGAACCTTAGTTTGGCAACTCTACTTTTCCTGTTGACCTAAGGGGAAAGGGAGGGTTATGTTCTAGCTCACAAATACCACGGACTCTCATTCTTGAGCAGCCAAAGTGCGTCTGCTTGGCGTGCCATGTTTGCAGGGTCTATCGTAACCAGAATAAATCTGAACTCTTAGAGCTGCAGTAGTTTCTATAACACTTGTGGTTGATCAATTTAATCTGGCAGCTTCATAAGGGCGTAAAGAAGTCTGGCATTATGGGATTCTGTGATCCCTGTCCTGGAGAACCTAAACAGTTGTACGTGGAATACACTTATGGTGGCAGCCGATATGAGGTACTACACTTCAGTTTGCTTTTGTTTTTCGGTCAGAATCCTGAAGTTTTGTTGCTGTTGGCTAAAATACGAAACTTGTGTACCAGGTTACGGTTGACGATTATGAAGAGCTGCAAATACCCCAGGAAGAGCACAGAATTTGATTTTCATTTGACCATGTTTAAATCTACATTTGCTTACCTTTATATCTCCCAATTTTGCATCTTCCTCCTTTCATAAACCCCCAACTCCCTCACAAATATTGTATTTAATTTAGAAACCTGCAAATAAGTTTGTTTGTGTGTGTATTAATAACCACATTTTTATGTCCTGGATTTTACTGGTCCCAAATGCACTTAATAAAAAAAAAAAATAACATTTGAAAGAATTGACAGAACTGTGGAGGGTATTCAGAAGGTGTTATGCAATGGTCCTAATGTTTTTTTTTTTACTAATTTGGATGAGAAGTTTATTGTGGAGTTCAATAATCTCCTGAAGCAGTCACTTAGTACTACAGTTTAATAGTATTTTTCTTCACTTATAAGTGAAAGGTTTTAGGTTGGATTCTCGTCAAAGGCGAATTTGAACCACATTATTACTAACCCATTGTGAGGTTTAGCTTACTCCCTCACTCTCTAAGTGATCCCTTTTCTCTTTTTTTTGTTTGTGTTATGCATTGAGAAGTTGTCTCATCTTACATTTGCGGCTTTTTGAAGAATAGGGTGGAAGTCTGAGAAAACTTCTCAATTGGGTCCAAATGTGACTCATTTATTTTTTGCGGATGATCTAATTTTGTTTTCTGAGGCTACTCCTAAGAAAGCTAAAATTATCGAACGGTGTATGGAAATGTTATGTAATGCTTCCGGTCAGACGATGAATTTTGATAAATCTGTCGTATATTGCTCGCTGAGCACTGGCAAAGAAACTGCTAGCAAGATTTGCTCCATTTGTGGCTCCCTCTCGTTGATGATCTTGGTAATTGTTTGGGAGTGCCAATTGTGCATTCGAGGGTCACTTCGTCTACCTCTGGCTCTATTGATAAGTTCGGAAGAAATTAGCTTCTTGGAAGAGCAAACTATTGTCCCAGGCTAGTCAAGCTACTCTCATTCGAGCTGTGACTTGTTCAATTCCTATCTATATGATGCACACCTCCAAGCTTCTTGTAAGCGTGTCCGAGGACCTTGATAATCTTATGAGCAACTCCATCGTGTGGAGTAGCCTTAGCGACAAGGCCCCAAAACAAAGGGCTAGCCCGAGCAACTACGTCCAACCCATCTGGGCGATTGAGCCCGAGGGGGCATGAGGGAGAGGCCTGGCGAGAGTAGACGGCCCGAGAGCCTGATGGCAAGGCTAACGTCAGGTGACGTCAGCCACATTTTGTATCTGTTTTGCTTCAGGCGCATGGGGTTCAAGCGTGCGTTGGCGCGCATCGTCCGACAAGAATGTAGATATGGGGCCCGCGACGCAGTTTTGAAAATGTTACCGTTGGGGAGGCCACGTGGCACCTCCGCGTCCGTTGGATCTCAATGGTAATTTTTTCTATACCATTGAATTTCCAATGGTAATAATAATTTTAAAACCTTATTTAATTGCAACTGTTGGATCTAAGATCAACGGTTCACATTATTCGCCTTTAAAAATAAATAAATAAAAAACAGTTTTAAATTTTGAAAATCTTACCGTTGTGCCATGTGGCACAATCTGGAGTGTTGGAATTCAATTTTTTTTAATCCAACAACAGAGATTAATTATGTGAATAAAAATTTGAAAAAAAAATGATTTTACTTTTCTATAAATACTTTCTCATTATCTTCTACCTTACACCACAATTTCATATTTTCTCAATTACTTTCAACCACATTCTTATCTTTCTCTCAAAGTTTCAATCCAATTTTTTTTCCAACAAAATGACTAATGATGCATGTACAAATTAGACGCTTGTTGAAAATGTTGCGTTGTGTACTAGCTAGGTTGAAGTTACTCATGATCCGATTATAGGTAATGAGATGTAGTTGCGAGAAATGTGGAGTCTTATTCATACCAATTATCTTGAGAAAATTGGTGGGAAAATAACCAAAGAATCGATGTCCAGTCGTTGGAAAATACTTAGCCAATCGTTTAGTATGTGGAGAGACGCCTTGGCACAAGCTAGTAGTAATCTTCGAAGTGGGGACAATTTAGCGGATCAGGTAATAATATATTATTTATTTGTTTGTACTATACCCAAATTTACATTAGCTACTTTGATTATAATTATTTCTTCTCCCGCATTATGTAGACACTTCAAGTACAATCTTGGTATAATGCCAAATCCAAAAACCAAAAGCAATCATTCACTTGGTGGGAATGTTGGAATATTGTCAAAGATTGTCCTAAATTAAATAAACACACCAAATAAAAACAAACACACTAAATGAACTTAAGTATCTTGAGCTTGTTTCAATTCCCACTAGTGTTCTATCAAGTCAATTTGTCGGACATTGTGCATATATGGCCTTTGAAGTGCAGTATATCGTTGAATGAGCATTTCTTTGTAACATCCATCCCTTTCTAATGCCTCATGTTGCACGGGTTCTTTGGTGGCGTCATGAGCACAATATATTTGTGTTATGGAATTGTTCATTGTGTTTGGCTCATATTCATGAACGGCATCATAATCGTACTCATATTCCACAATCATGTTGTGAAGAATGATGCACGTCATCATGATGGATCTCAGCGACTCTAAATCAATCATTTTGGTAGCACCCTTGACAATTGCCCAGCGAGTTTGGAGGATACCAAAACAATGCTCCACATCATTCCTGCACCCCTCTTGACAGCTTGCAAAGTGTTTTTCCTTTGCACTTCATGGACGTGGCACTGTTTTGACAAACGATGACCACCTAGGATAAATGTCGTCTGCTAGGTAGTATGGCCTGTCGTACTTATGTCCGTTAACCCAGTATGGGACTTTTGGTGCCTTTCCTTGCACGACATCATTGAACACTGGGGATTGGGCAAGGACATTTAGGTCATTTTAAGCTCCCGGAATCCCGAAAAAGGTGTGCCAAATCTATGTATCAAAAGATGCCACCACCTCCAAAATGGTACTTTTTGCTCATTTTCTGTCCCCATAAGAGCCTTACCATGCACTTGGACAATTTTTCCAGGTCCAGTGCATACAGTTGATGCTTCCAATCATCCCAGGAAAACCTCGCATCTCGCCCTTCTTCAGAAGCCTTTGCAAGTCTATCTCAGTAGGTATTCGGAGGTACTCTACGGTGTAGATAGATTCGATTACTCTGCAAAACCTCATTATGGACTCAAGAATGGTTGATTTCCCCATCCTCGCTATCTTATCCACTTGGTCTGTAGATGCTCCATATGCAAGCATCCGCAAGGCAACAATAATTTTTTGCTCATGAATGAGACTCATAGCACCAAAAGCATCATTCTTTTGCACAAAGTAAGAATCATGGTTGCAAATAGCAATCATAATTTTGTTGAACAAATGTCGTTCCATTCTAAAACGACGTCTAAAGTAAGTATCAGGGAATGCACTGTTATAGATAAAATAATTGTCCAAGAGATTCGTACCTCGTCATTGCCTACTTCTATCAAGGTTTGTGGAATGGCTGGGCTTGCAGATCTGAGCTACAGCTTGGATGACTCGATAAGAATGTGAGGCTCTGGCCATTTTTGCTTCGTCATCTCTCCTTCTACGCTCCTCATCCTCTTCCATCTCATTTTGGGCCACTTGGAGATTGAACATTCCTTCTGATTGGTTAAACAATTCTTCCTCTTGCTAATCAATTTCCCACATCATTCTTGAAGAAGAAGACATTGTAAGAAGGAAGCAGAAACTATGAATAATGATAGAGATCTTGAGAAAATTGGTGTGAGATTTCTGAGAATGGATGGTGGATTATATGGAGGATTCAAAAAGGGTTAGGTTGTAGATAATGCCACGTGGCATGTCGTCATTCGTTAAAAATCTGATCGAAATCTATCCTTAAAGATTGCAAACAGATTGTGACACGTGGCACGATGTGATTGGTTAAAAAACTTATCGAAAATCTATCCTCAATGATTCTGAAAAGGTAACGACACGTGGCACGACGGCATTGGATAAAAATATTATAAAAATCCTTCACCAATAATTGTCTTTTCGAATAATGACAGGTGGCGTAAGGAGAACGATTAAAAATCTTATCCGAAATTACAAATAAAATTATTTTGTATTGTTTTATAAATAAAAAAAATGCTAATATTTTATTGCCTATTGTCAGGGCTATTCAGTGTAGGGGTGGATATGCAAAATGCAGTTATTGTTCATTAAGGGTAGTTACTGTTCACTGGGTGGATTAAATAGTCAATAGCCCTGGGGGGCCTTAGCAACGATGGAGTTGCTCTAAAGAGATTTCTTTTGGGGGGAGATTTATCAGTTGTTTTGGTTTCCAATTAGGTGAGTCACACCTTTAGTCTTGATTTGTATGAGTGGTTGATGGCTAATTTAATGTCCAAAGAGTAATGGAATGATATTGCTGCTTGGTGTGATGCTTTTGCTTTTGTGTTGTGGATAATTGGAAATGGAGGAATAATATTTTTTGAGATAATTTTTAGCTCCCTATTTATGGGCTGTTTATCTGAATATTGTGCAGTGGCGTAAGGCTTATGAAGCTAATAAGGTGCTTTAAACTGATGACATGTTTACGCAAGGGAAATTGGAATTAAAAAGGGAAATTCAATTCCGATTACGGAATACTCCGTTGTTTACCAAATAGTTGGGAATAAAAAAATTGGTGGGACCCACATAAATATTAAATCCAACTCCAAAGTTTGGAGGAATTGGATTCTCTACGATTTGGTGGGAATTAAATTCCAGGTTATTACGGCAATCAAAATGGATTTTTTTCTCCCCGTTATATCCTTACTTAATTCCAAGCTTGTCCTTCACATTAACCCAACACCAAATTTTGTTCTCTCAGGAAAAAAATAAAAAATAAAAAGAATTTGTTGGGGGACTTTTAGGTCGAGTTGGATTTGGGCCTTGGTGGAAATATTTTTGCTTTCCTTGGTTAATTTCAACACCAAGTCTTGAGATACCTCGAGAGAATTAGTGTGTCTTAGGAAATACCTCGGTTGGACTAATGACCCAAAAATAGTATGATTAACGCAAATTATTACTTGCCTAAGCGAGGCGTGATTTGGAAGCTACAAGCATCTCAATTTAGCGTGAGAGAACTGGTCTAGGTGTCGAACCCATGACCTGGAAGGAACTTATGCACGCATCACAATGCTTGACCCTAAAGCCGTGAAACGTCTCCCCTTCATTTCTCCAGAAACCTCTCATTTTCTCCCAAAGCAAACCCTAGCTGCACCTTGACTTCCTTCCTCTCTTTTCACTTCTGCATC